TCTGTTTTCGTAATTAAGCATGACTTATAAATGCTTCATTTGCCTGACTTATAATTTTTAATTTTCACTATTCTACTAGCGCATCCCGTGCCATGCAAGAATTTTTGTCTTGGATAAGATAGGTTTCAAAGATATGGAAACTATGGAGGTCAAGAGAGCTTACCTGAAAACTGAGCATGATGGTTATACTTTTAACGTCAAAGTATACAATGCACACACGTACACTTATTTTGAATGCAAAACTTGGCAAGCACTATGCAAGGCTTATGCATTTGAGCCTGGTATGGTTATCACCTTTGATATTCGTCTGGAAGATGATATTGAAGGTAATAGAGACATATGGGTTGATGTGCAGACGCCTCCAGTTCTACCATTATGTGAGTTCTTTTCAACTATATTTTTGTCTTTAATATTGCTTATTCAAAAATAACTGACAACTAATTTCTATTGACAGCTTATCTCCATTCAACCAAACATGTCCGGCGCTTCGTAGACAGGACCTACTACTATCCCGGAGCTGAACTAAACTGCGAGAAGATAAGTCATGATGTTTCATGGCTTGAGGATCTTCATACTGTCAAGACAAATTTTCTTCCTGCACTTAGAAATGTTATTACTCAAAACGTGCGACCAATAGTGATGGTATTGAACTACGGTCACATCTATTTAGGAATGATGGTAAGATATTTACTATTTGTCCTCAGTGCATATTTTGCATACATATTTTTTTTGCTAAACTTTCATTGCTAAGTATATTAATTAAGTACTATACAATGTTCTTCAACAGGGACTCCCGATGACAGTTGTGCCTCAGGGGATCGAGACTAAAGGTCAGATGTCAATTGTTAGCTTACGGCCAAGATATCCTGCATTGCACATGAATGCATTCAGGATTTCTAGAAGCGATGAATGCTTAATAGTGAAAGATTGGAGGAAAATTTTTAATGATCGCAGAGAAGTACTAGGGGGCAGCAATGAGAAGCGTAGCCCATGATTAGGAGACAGGTTCATCGGCATGCTCCAGTATGATCAATCAGGAGAGCTATACATGTTCTATGCTATTTTACCAGAGAGAGTAGCTAGCAGGAGTGATTTAGCTAGTTCTTCATGCTGCTCTTAATTAGTACTTGTCCTTTCATGTCTGTGTTCTTCGTTCTGAACTTAAGTGATTTGCTTTTGTGGTGTTATATATGAACGCTTATAATATCATGAGAATCATGTTGAACTCGATCGATAATATTTTTGCTTCTGGTACAAGTGAATGTTTCTTCTTTCAGCTAGTAGTGCTGGTGGTGATTAGATAGCTAGTTAATTATTATATCAATTAATGAAAGAAACGCAGATTAGTTTCAGCTGGATGGATCCTACCTAAGTGATCAAGTATATGCCATATCCGTATATATTATAGTTGATCAAGTATAATATGGATATGGCATATACTCTAGCTAGCTAGCTAGTAGAGATATCCAATAATGCATCCAGTCGAAACTAATCCGCGGTACTTTCACCTAATGATTTAACAACTCATTATAATGTAAAACAATCACTAAATTAAATTGAAAACACAAAATTAAAGAAAAACTAAAAAACACCCAAACATTTAGTACCGGTTGGTGTTACCAACCGGTACTAATGCCCTCCACACAAACGGGCCTGGCTCGTGCCACGTGGTGGCACTTTAGCGCCGGTTCGTGACGAACCGGTACTAAAGGGAGGGGACCTTTAGTCCCCACTCTTTAGTGCCGGTTGACGAACCGGCACTAAAGCCCGTTACGAACCGGCACTAAAGGCCGGTTCTTCACTAGTGGCCCTAGGGCAACAGTGAGTAACATCTCTCATCTATCAAATATGTCGAACACTCTGTCTGGTGGTGGTATATATGGTGGACACTCTCGCACGGGAATTTTGACTTTCGGTGATTGTCAAGCTGGGCGAGTCCATCGTGTCTGACAAATGTATATCACAGGACGAACTCACCCAGATTGACCGCCATCGTCAAATTAAAAGTCGATTGATTTTCCTCCAAGAAAAACTCTTATCGACTGTTGGTGATGATCGATCTTCTTCTGCTCCTCCTACTTTACAAAGATCATACCGGAGGAGCAGAGGAAGCGCAACCCCCTATGACAGTAGTCGATACCATTCCTCTGAAAACATCTCTCATCTTTAAAATATGGTCGACACTCGCTCAAGATAAAAACTATTGCATAAAAACTACTACATAAAGACTACTACAAAAACTAACACACAAAAACACTACATAACAACTACTACAAAAACTAATACATAAAAACTACTACAAAAAGTACTAGATAGAAACTACTACATAACTCCATACATACATCCATGCATAGCATCCATCCATACAACATCATCAAAATTTATCTAATCTATTCGTCCATCCACATCTATGCATCTATTCATCCATACATACATCCACCCAGAACATCCATCCATCTATGCATCGATTCATCCATCCATGTTGTAGTGGGGAGGGGAAAGCTCACGAAATGGGGAGTGGGGGCGGCGCTGGTGGGGTGGGCGGGCCCGCGGGGTGGTTCGCCGGCCGATGGGGGGTGCCCGTGGGGTGGGGCGGCGCCGGCTGGTGGCGTGGGGATGCCCACGGGTTGAGGTGGCGGCAGCGGAGAGCCAGCCGGCGGGAGGCAGCGGGGTGTAGAGGAGGAGAGGCACAAATGAGAAATGAAAATGAGCGCGGGGATTTCACTTAAGTGTCCCCTGGACCTTTCCCGAGAGACTGACGATGGGGCTCCCGGAAAAGATTGTAACACCTAGATCTATGGTTTAACTTTTATCGAGAGAACTCTCTTAAAGGGTCGTCAACTAGATCTAGGTTTTCATTTTTACCGAGATCCAAAATTGGAAAAGACATGTGTACCGAGTGCTACTCTCGGCAAAATAAGTAGCTAGCATCATTTGTGCCTCTTTCATCTAACCCTGCATCACATAGGAGTTTCCATGCCGCTTCCGAGCTTGATATCATATGTCGCCTTGCAGATCTGCAATTTCCAACGACGAACCCCTAGCAGAGCAATAAATTTCTCCAATATTGCACGCTGGTCCAAAAATGTAGGGGCCTATCACGTATCATGTGATGGCCTCCTTTGAGAGCATGAGAAGTTTCGAGGCCAACAAAGCAACAGGACCCACACTTCCTCCATAAACTGGACACGTTCCCTCTCGATACCCAGAGACTAGCTCGGAGATGGTGCGGCTTACAAGCGGCCTCAGGGGAGGCTTATTAAAAACATGTCCAAACTTTTACCACACCCTACAGGGGCCATGTAATGACACAGTGCCAGCTCTCGAGGAATTTCATCATCGTACGATTTTTCGAGGATTTAAACAGTTGCATTAAGCATGCCACCAAGGTACTTTCACCCCTGGTGGCAGGGGCTGCCCCTCCCTCATCTACACAAGGTCTACGCATGTTGCAAGGACATCACATAGCCATTCCGCTTCCGGGCGTGATTCCGTGTGCTGCTTTGCAGATCTGCAATTCCCGACGCTGAAACCCTAGCAGAGTAATAAATGTCTCAAATGTTGCATGCGGGTGCGAAAAATGCGGGGGGCTGGCATGTGTTATGCGATGGCCTCCTTTGAGAGCACAAGAATTTTTGAGGCCAACGGTGCCACAAGACCCGCACTTCCTTCACAAATCGGACGTGTTCCCTCTCAATACCCAGAGACTACCTCGGAAATGGCGTGGTTTACAAGCGGACCCAGGGGAGGCTTATCCGAAACGCGCCCAAACTTTTAGCACACCCTACAGGGACCATGTGCTGACACCGTGCCAGCTCTCGAGGAATTCCGGCATCGTACGGTTTTCCAAGGATTTAAACGGTAACAAGGGCCATGTGATGACACGGACGAAAAACTCAAAAAATAATAATACTTGAATCAATGGTACCGTGAATCTTCTCTGCCCGGAACAGGTGAAGATTTAAATCAATGGTACATCTTCTTAACATGAGTGTAATGAAGATCAAAGCTTATTGTGTCTAGACTATCCAACTATTTAAACTGGTCATGTTGCTTATCTCTAGGCAAGGTGGGACTAAAGTTTTTGCTGAGAGCTGGAGCTTTGCCGAGAGCTGCTCTTGGCCAAGCATTGCTACCGTCACCACGCCGTTATTCGCCCCGGATGAGCCACATGGCAACACGTTGCCGTGTGACAGTTGTTTGGCTGCCGGTAAATAGTGCCTTTGCCGAGTCACATGTTGCGGAGTATGACTCTCGGAAATATCATGTGTTTGCCGAGATGCCCCTGTTGCCGAGAGGTACTCTCGGCGTCTATTAGTTTGCCGAGCGCATGTGTTTTAGCTCTCAGCGAAGAGCCTGCCACCCGGCATATAAGGAAATTCCAGAAGTGTAGACGGTGTGTTAAGAGTCACCACCAATGGGAAGGGAAGACGAGGGGCCCTATTGGATCCTGCAGGTCGATGTTCTCATCACCGAGTATTGTCGGTTCCACCGGTAACTTCCACGGTGAGGACAAGGGTGTGAAAAAGAGGAATCAATATTTATGTTTGTTCCCGGGCCGCTGATCTTATCTGAGTACTATGGTTTGTGCTCGACGAGTCATTATTTTGCTGAAAAGAATTTAGTGTGTAAAAGTTGTGCGCCTGGATTCTAATTTGTAATAATCCTTACATCTTAGTGTTGAAACTGACATTGTCCTTAAGTTACAAGTTTTAATTATACTTGGAGTGCTCCACCCGGTGTGCGCTCTGCTGAGAAATTCCAGAAAAATCCATATTTTTTGTGAAAAGAAATAGTAACTTCTTTATATACATATTGAAAGTTAAAGAAGAAAAAACAATTAAACAAAGAAACAACAAACACCCGTACGCACTTGTCGTTACATTCATTAACCCTTTACTACAAGATATGATCACCTCTGTGTACATTACATGCCTATGCATTATGTAAGCATGCATCTTCCTTTATCTATCATGTGAGTGACAACGGCCAAAATCATCTCATTGATCTGCCAACTCCTGCTGCTTCTTCAGCACTTGGAACGTTAGCCCCCTCTTATCGTCAGCGGCAGCATCGATGGAGATTGTCGAGCCAGCACAGGCTTCTCCGTCGACCAGCATGTCCGAGAGAATCGTGGTCACGTGATTCTGCACCCACCTTCTAATGGGCCTTGCGCCGTCCACCTACGGGCGTTGAAGCGTTAAAAACTGGACAATGGATCGACATCTTGTGATGGTTATGAAAAAAAGCTACTGTATATATACTCACCGGGTCATGTGATTCTGACAGGATGACGTCTAGGGCCGCATCAGTTGCATGTACAGCGACACCCTTGGAAGCTACTGTCGAAATGACATTATTTATCTGGATTTTCACAATCTTCCTCAATTCATCGTGTGAAAGTGGCTCGAATATCACAACCTTATTTAGTCTATTGATAAGTTCAGGCTTGAAGCGCTTCTTGACCTGCATGAACAAGTGTATATAAGATGATCATTGACTTGCCAATCGAGGACGTTACAAGAATAGTTGGGATTCACAAACCTGATTCATGAGGAGATCTCTTCCAGATTTGATTGTATTTTCGCCCATAATTCTCGACGGTAGGTGCTCTGCTCCTATATTTGAGGTCATAATGACGATAGTGTTCTTGAAATCTACAACTTGCCCTTTGCCATCGGTCAACATAGCATCGTCGAGCAGCTGGTGAAAAACCTTGAATACCGAGGCATTTGCTTTATCCACTTGGTCGAAAAGGATAACACTATATGGGAGCCTCTTGACTTTCTCGGTGAGTTGTCCATATTCTTCATAGCTTTAGAAAATCAAATTTTGTTATTTGAGATATGTGTGTGCCTAGAAACAAAAAGTGTATATCAAGTTTAAGAATCAAACCTTCGAGATCCTCCGGTGAGACGTGACACAGATCCACTATCAGCATATTCCGACATATCAAAGCGAATCAATGCCTCCTCGTTGTCAAATATCTTCTCAGCGAGGGCTTTAGCAAGTTCTGTCTTTCCGACGCCAATCGGGCCCAAAAAGAGGAATGCACTTATTGGTTGTCCGATTTGTCCAAATCCGAGCCTAGAACGTAGGACTGCTTGCGCAACCAAATTAACAGCTTCATCCTGGCCAATAACACGCTCATGCAATTTTTTCGCAAGGTGGATCAACTTCTCGTTCTCCTCTTGGTCAAGTGTAGCGAGAGGGATTTTAGTCCATCGGCTCACAACCTTCAAATGAATTTTAGATGTGAGGAACACAACACATTGAAAACATACAGGAATTCCCCGAAAACAAATTACATATGGGAATTAATTATTCACGGATATGATTAGGACTTACCCGTGCTACATGTCCAGGGCCAACAACAATTTCCAGGGTCGTTTGTTTGTCGGCGTGCATCTTTATTGTAGCGCATGCCTCATCCATAAGATCAATTGCTTTATCAGGGAATTTGCGGCCTGGCAATGATCAGATACATCAATTATCTTCAACATAAACAATCATATACTCTCCCCGTTTCTTTTTAGTCCGCATATAAGATTTGGTCAAAGTCAAACTTTATAAAGTTTGACCAACTTTGTAAAAACAAAATATCAACATCTACAATACTAAACCTATATGGTATGAAAATCAATTTCATAATGCATCTAAGAGTATTGATTTCATATTGTGAATCTTGATATTCTTTTCTATAAACATAGTCAAAGTTAATAAAGTTGACTTTGATTATATCTTATATGCAGACTAAAAAGAAATGGTGGGAGTATATAGTACTCTCTGAGTCTCTTTATCAGAGTATTTCTGTATACGGAGGGGGTATAATTAAGTGATACTCTAAGAGTAAACTGAATTCTTGAAGTATGTATGTATAGGTACCAGTAATGTAGCGGGCAGCGAGATGTGCAGCGGCTACAAGAGCATCGTCCTGGATTTTCAGGCCATGGTGTTCTTGGTACCTTGGCTTCAGCCCTCGCAGGATGGCAACGGTTGCATGCACACTTGGCTCCTCGACGACAACCTTCTGGAACCGCCGCTCAAGTGCGGCATCTGTCTGAACATATTTTTGATACTCTTCGGAGGTCGTGGCGCCCACGCAACGGATGCGGCCGCGGGCCAGTGCCGGCTTGAGGATGTTGGCGGCGTCTATGGGGCCTCCCTTGTGCCCGCCGGCGCCAACGACCATGTGCATCTCGTCGATGAACAAGATGACCTTGCCTTCCGCCTCCTCTGCCTCCTTGATGGCGTCTTTGATGCGCTGCTCAAACATGCCGCGCCAGTGCGTCCCGGCCATCATGGCCCCCATGTCAACCTCCACTATGCGTGCGCCGACAAGCGTCTCGGGGACGTTCCCGGCCGCGATGCGCTGTGCGAGGCCCTCAACGATGGCCGTCTTGCCGACCCCCGCGGCGCCGACGAGCGCGGCGCAGTTCTTCGTGCGCCGGCAGAGGATGCAGACGACGCGGTCAATCTCGTCGTCGCGGCCGATGACGGGGTCGGTCGTGGTAGCATCCAAGGTCCTGAGGCTGCCGGTGGCGTCCAGGGGCTTGACGCCGATGAGTTCGTTGTAGTTTGTTTCCGAAGGGCGTTTGTCGTACTTGAACTCGTCGAGCAACGTCCACGTTGCCCAGGCTAGAGCAGCGCTGGCAACGGCCGATGCTCCGACGAAGAGCATGCTTTCCGGGGAAGACCACGACATAGCTACTATACGATCGAGCTCTCCAACTGCAAGTGAGGAACAAGAATATGAAAGCGCCGACAAAAGCGTTCGATCCGTTTCGATACGATTCCACGTGCAGGTGCAGCACAAAGATCGTTAATCGCCGTGTGTCTCTCTATATCTTGTCTGTATTGCCGATGTGCCGCAAGATGTACTGTATTTATGAGTATACGACAGATCTCTTCCAATCCGTCTCGGTATATAGAAGAGAACGACCACCTCTCGGAAATTGGATGTGGATTTGTGTGGGGAAAAGTACGGAGCGTTTCTTCGTCCGTTACTATTCCAACAATCGTACGTCGCCCTCTCGTCCACGTGGTATTTCACCTCGCACAGACGAAAAACCCTCTAAACCTTGATGATGAGATTAAGGTTGGTGTGGGTCGGGTGGTATGGTCCTCCTCATTGCTCGGAGTTTGGAGCAAACCTTTCCAGGGAGTGAATGATCCTTTAATGGCTGAATCTATGGCATTGCAGGAAGGCGTGTTATTTGCTAAATTTTGAGACTATCGGCATGTGATAATAGAGACAGATTGCCAAGAGTTGGTCAATGGACTTGTTGCCACATCCTCTCGCAAATTGGAATTGGAATTGAAAATTGGATGTGGATTTTTTT